GAAATGTGCACTCATGCCATTGCTTATATTTGCAAATGATACTTTTAAATATTTCTGCTATTTGGCCATATACAGAACAACCTCCTTAACTGAGATTTAGCTGGGAGCGCACACATATTTTATATGGACAAATCCTGGATTGGCTTCGTTATTTGGTAGCCTGGCAACCCATGGTGATAGGAGTAGTTCAAGGCATTAACTACTCACTAGGGCTGGAATGATACAGGAAGCAAGGTGTTGCATGTTGAAATGTTTTCAAGTCCTTGATTCTACATTTACTATTGATAATCATTTTTTTAATTTTAGAGATGATTCCGAGAGTTTAGAGAACTGAATAAAATTTGGTGGTCTACCTAAGGCAATTTGTCTATGTGGACAGAATTTAAAGAACTGAGCAACGAAATAAACCAACAAAGCACACTCTGCATCTTTCCCATTACGATTGTTTTCTGATCCACACATGCGACGCGTGTATTACAAACACCCCAAGGACATCCCTCCTCTGATTTGGCTGGTAATGATCTCATCTGTTGAGTGTTTCAGAGGTTTGCAAAGCACTTCTCACACAGACCATTTAGTGATAACTAATACCTTCTGCTCAATTCAGCATCTTCAAAGAAGCCGGCAGAGTTGTGAAGTAATCTGCGGTGGAAGGATAAGGCCTTTTCTACTCTTCGTGCTTGTGACCACTTGGCCACTTTGGCACCACTAAACCCTCCCATAGAGACAATTACTCCTGAAACCTCAAGACTAGGTGCCACAGTGGGCCAGAGCTATGCCAGGTTTCCTGAGTCTGCCAAATGCACGCAGCCCACCCAGGGGCTGCACTGAAGTGGAGAGAATCACTCTCAATCTTTTGTGCAACTCTGTGTACACACACACACACACACACACACACACACACACACACACTCTGTTGCCATACTCTGCTTCTATTTTCTTCATAGCAATTATCCATACCTGCAATCATATCATAAATTTGTTTATTGTTTCTCTTTCCCTCCATGAAGGCAGAGAATTTCATCTGTTTGTTTTTTCCCTACTGTATCTCCAGCACTTCGAGCAGTGCCTGGTATGTAATAGGCACTCTATAAATATTTATTGAAAGAATAAAATAATCCATTTGCAGGAGGGAACAAAATTAACAGAATAGCAAAGACCAGTCAGAAAGAATTAACCCATGAATGATATGTCAGACTCCCCCAAATTAATTCATTTTAAATTACTGGTCATTTGTTAAACAGCCAACACTGTATATGTAACACCAGACATCTACTCTGTAATATTTAAAGGTATTACATTCATAAGAAGTAGAAAAAAACACACCCACTGTCAAAAATATTGGCAATGTACTTAATGCTATGCAAAATTCCATCATAGTTTTAACAAAGAAGCACACTAGGATTTCTACCTGTTGGTAATTGGCCTTCGTGAAATTGCCCAGTGCTTCAGTGTTATGATTGGTTCAGCATCCAGATTACTAGAAGATTTAACTCTGGTTTATTTCTCTACTCAGCACACATTTTGGCAATTCAATACTTACTACATACCAGGGTTAAGGAGATAAAACAAGATTCTTGATTTTATAGTCTTGATTTTATTGACAAATAAAAGAGCTCATAGTTGGATAAAATACTAACTAAAAATTAGTTTTTCTTCTGGAAAAGGAGCCTTAAATTGACCTCTGGCCCTAGCCAGTTTGGCTCAGCGAATAGAGCGTCAGGCTGTGGACTGAAGTGTCCCAGGTTTGATTCCAGTCAACATGCCTGGGTTGCGGGTTCAATCCCCAGTAGGGGGCATGGAGGAGTTAGCCTATCAATGATTCTCTCTCATTGATGTTTCTATCTCTTTCTCCCTCTCCCTTCCTCTCTGAAATCAATAAAAATATATTTTTAAATATAAATAAAATAAATTGACCTCTGATGTATTTGCCACTTATCTTCAGTGGATGGGTGCATAAGGGTAGCTTTTAGAACAATTTAGAACCCTGGGCAAGTAAGCCAGTATGAATTTGCTTGGAATTCTGAATGACTCTCAGAGTTCAGAAATATGTTAGATAATAGCTAAACAATCTCAGGAAAAAAATAAAGTGCTATTTTTTAATGCAGTTTAAGTATTTATAATTGAATTTCAATTTTGTGAAGTTATATATGCACATATATAGAAAATAATACCATAACTAATAAATAATAATATAATAAACTCTGTGCTTTCCATATGAATAACTGTAGACCTATTTTGCCCACCACTGTTTATATATATATATATATATATATATATATATATATATATATAGAGAGAGAGAGAGAGAGAGAGAGAGAGAGAGAGAGAGATCCAGTGCATGAAATTTGTGCACAGGAAAGAGGGGGTGTCCCTCAGCCCAGCCTGCACCTTCTCAAATCTGGGACCCCTTGGGGGATGTCCGACTGCCGGGATTGGGCCTAAACTGGCAGTCAGACATCCCTCTCACAATCCAGGACCTCTGGCTCCTAACTGCCTCTGCCTGCCTGCTTGATCGCCCCTAACTGCTCCCCTGCCAGCCTGATCATCCCCAATTGCTCTCTCCTGCTGGCCTGATTGCCCCCAACTGCTTGCTCCCCTGCCTGCCTTATTGCCCCTAACTGCTTGCTCCCCTGCCTGCCTTATCGCCCCTAACCGTGTCTGCCTCGGTCCCCGCTACTGTGGCTTTGTCTGGAAGGAAGTCGGATGTCTGGAAGATGTCCAGTCAACCCAGTCTAATAAGCATATTACCCTTTTATTAGTATAGCTAGTACAGACCTATACACTACAGTTATCTGTGGTTATCTGAAGGTAAAAGGATAAAAGCTGATTCTTATTTTCTTTTATATAATTTTATCTCTTTTCCAAAATTTCTACAGTGAACATGTTTAACATTCACAATCAGAAAAATATTCTTTTTAAAATATTCCTTTAAATCTATCAATTAAGTATTAAGCTATTTTTCTATTGCTGTGCAAATTATTGCAATTCAATCTAACAGATCAAGTCCATGTTAAATGTATCTAGTTCTCATAATTAACATTGTGTTTAATGTAGGAAATAGAGAAGTAAAGCAAAAAGTCCATTATTGTGTTTGGTTTCTGCAGCACCTTCTCAAGTTTCCTTCTCCTGAACTTTTCCATGTTTTTCTTAGGCTGGCCACTGTTTCTGCCATAACACTCTCCTGGGAGTTTGTATGAGAGAGAGAAGTATTATGTGACTGTCCCAGGGACTATAGTCTGTTATATACTTAATGAACTTACTTCTTTGGGATATTTTTCTGTGAACAACAGGATCTCTTATATTCCTGCTAGTACCCTTAACAGAAAAATAACGATTTGTCAATCATAATACATAAGGAGATGAATTACTTTTTTGGAACATAACACCCAACATCTACTCCAGGAATCCCTGCCACCCCATGCAGCCACCTCATGTTTCTCATTCTCATGGCTTGGTCCTCTAGCCCTCCTCACCCCTCCAGAGGGAACAGTGACTTAGTGAACATTACTGTACATTAATATCTACATCAGGCCCTACGATCTCGATATTATTATCCCTACTTGAAGGGAAAATACTTTGGGTCAAGTTAAGTAACTTGCCCAAAGATACGTACCAACAAACCCAGGACTTTCTGACTCCAGAGCCCAATAAACCACACAAACCCAGTTCCTGCTGAGAACTGAGTGGGGGTCAAAGGAAGTTCACTTCCTTTCACATAAGAAGGTAGTTGTACCAAATCAGTAAATAGCATGAATTGCATTAAATTTAATGCGTTATTAACTCTACGTTATAAAAAGTAACACAGGGAAATATTATCTATCTTTCAAAATAATTGTGTGCCAAATATTTTTTCTCATTATGAGGAACCTAGAGGTTTATACTTGTTTAAAAATATATTTAGCTCACAGGTACTATTATAAATTTTCAGAAGGAAAAAAAGGAAGGCCTTTTTAGAATCAGAAACAAGACCTTTCAAAGAAGCAAAAAAGCACCACGATGCCAGGGAGACAAAAGCACCAGGACTAGAAGACGGGGCTGAGAGCCAGGGTCACTCGAGACAAATTAGAACTGCACCTATGCTTAGAGGCTAGAGGAAAAGGAGTCAGGATATGGGCAGCTTCTTTCAAATCCTTCTAAACTGAGTATTTTATTTACTTTTTTAGTTTGATTTTCAGTGCAAAATGTAATTTACTGTATCTTGTGTTGTGTACTCTCACTTAAGTAACTATGGCTAAAGAAACCTATCAACTACCCAGACAGACAGACCCAATTAACATGAAAATACATGCTTTTTTAGGTAATATGTATCCTGTAAAGTCTGATGGGGACACACAACTTATTTTCTAGAAATAGCAATATTGGGGCTGGGTGACCCTAACGTTTTGCCTTTTTGACCAGGAGAGCAGTCACACAAAGAGGAGACAGCTGAGTGGGATGGCCAACACCCTCTGTAGGCACGGATGAGTCCGCTAGCAGGGCTGACTACAGTCATTTGAAATCTTCTGTTCATCTGTGCAATTTCCTAATGAACTAAACTATTTGTTACAGATAATTCAGAAAACAATAATGGACTTAGATCCTGATTACCTCCCAGGATAAAGAAAAACCAAATCCCTTTTTTTTTTTTCCAATCGGCTAAGTAGTTTTTATAAAACAGCACTCTAGATAAAACTTGAACAGTTTTAGTAAGCAAATCCTCATGTGGTTTATATATACTTGTGTCAGAATGGACTTAGTTACAGCTAGTGATATAAAGATCACTACCAGCCTTGCCAGCCTGGCTCAGTGGTTGATTGTTGACCTATGAACCAGGAGGTCAAGGTTCAATTCCCAGTCAGGGCACATACCTGGGTTTCGGGCTCCATCCCCAGTTGGGGGGAGCGTGCAGGAGGCAGCCGATCAATGATTCTCTCTCATCATTGATGCTTCTATCTCTCCCTCTCCCTTCCTCTCTTAAATCAATAAAAATACATTTTAAAAAATAAAATAAAGACCACTACTAATCCAAGACTGGCCTTTAATGAAGGATCTTAGGACTTTATTGCAGTTCTCAAATTTAACCAGAACCCCTCCTGCTGGGTTTCATCAGTGGGCCACTCCAGGTAGGTCTTGGTGTTCATGATCTTGCGCAGCTTACAGAAACGCTGGGGAATGGCCTTCTTCTCCAGGGGCTCCAGCAGAACGAGAATGGCGGCATCGTTGTTCTCATCAAAGAGGCGAAAATGGGAGAAGTCCAGTTCGTACTTGCACCACTCGCTCTTCACAAAGTTCTCGGAAAGCACGAAGATGGTTTTGTGGCTCTTTTCGATGGAGTCAATGATGTTGTCAATAATCCATTTGCCAGGAACAAAGTCCCGCTTATGAAGACACAGCTTAAAGGGAGGGTTGAAGTGCTCCAGCTCCTGGACCATCAGGTTCTCCACCCAGTGGGAATCCTGCTCACTGTAAGACACAAAGGCGTCGTAACAGAGGTCCCTCTGGGGGGCTCGCTTGGGCTTCCTTTTGGCCTGGAGCCAGGCCCACATCATTTTCATGTACCACAGGCCATGGAAACGGTGGCACAGAACCCCAGCGAGCACGATCAGCAGGAAAAGGGCACAGCATACGGCAGACACCAGAGCCACCCTGTGGCACTCAGAAGCCGAGAGATGAGTGTCCTGCACCCGCTGGCCCCGCACATGGGATGGAGAATCACACAGGTAGTTTTCTGGCCAGTCGATCAGGACTTGGGCCAGTGCTGGCTGCCCCTGAGTGAAGGACAGGAATTCACAGGAACAGATGAAATTGTTGCTGCCGGCTTCCAAAGTCTTCAGTTTTCGAAAAGAATCAAGTTGCTCCTTAGAGAAAGTATTTATTGTATTTCTGCTGATTCTCATGACTAGTAACATGGGTAAGGAGGAAGCATCTGGTAGAGTCTTCAACTTATTTCCGGAAATATAAAGTTCTCTGAGTTGTGGCATCGTCAACGAAAACGAACTGAGGCTGTTGTTGCTAACATCTAAAATTTCCAGTTTCTGAGGAATGCATTCAGTTAAACTCTGTATTCTTGTACTGGATAAGTTCAAACATGTCATCTTTTCTGGCCACTGACAAGTTTTAGATATAGGATGGAAATTATTCCTACTGATATCAAGGTTAGTCAGATTTTTCAGAGTAAGCAAAGTTTCTCCGGTTTGTTCTAACGATCTCAAATGATTCTGCCTTAAAATTAAGGTTTGCAGGGAGGGCCAGGCATACTCACAGGCTGCGTTTTTCAACGAGTTTTCAACTATTAAGTTGCCACTGAGGTCCAAATATTCCAGTGATTTTAAGTTTTGCGAAAGTAAACAAGGAACTAGGAAAACCTTACTGTTTTCTATTGTGATTCTTTTAACTGTTCCAGTAAGTGAATATAAACTCCTCAGATCATAAAATGAGTAAAAATGTGGAATATACAACCTCCGTATTGTTAATGTCTCTATTTTACTGACATCTTTATTTGTGTCCATAGCAGGGTCAAAATCACCAACTCCATCAAGGGTGCAGCTATCAAACTCCACATCTAATATGTCAGAACCATAATTCAACAGTCTCACCATCTCATTAAAACTTTCATCCGTGATTTCCACATTTCTAAAGGTGAACTTTTTAATTGTCTTGGTTTCATTGGTGGATACTTTTGAAAAACGGAAAGTGCCCAAACGAGTATCTCTCAGTTCCAAATGTTCCAAGGAACTTACAAGATCTACAAAAATCTCCGGCAAGAAAGCAGGCTGCTTCATATGAAGGATCAGGTGGCTGATGTTCTGAATCACCTTCAAACTGTTTGGCCCATACTTCTGGAGATTGGAAGCATCAATCTCAAGTTCCTTAAGAACAGTCAGCCCAACAAAATCCTTTTCCTGAATTTCAGTGAAGTGGTAACTGTGTCCTACTTTTAGGATTCGCAAGTTGGTGAGATGAGAAAAAAGAGATGTTTTCCCGAGTGTTTTGTAAGGGTTTCCCAGTAAGTTTAAGAAGTTCAAGGAAGTCAGGGGCCTGAACCAGGAGGCTGATAAATTAGGTAAGAGATTATAGGATAAGTCCAAATGTTCCAGACTCCCCAGGGAGAAAAAGGAATCTTCCTCTATCGTGTCAATGTTATTGGATCCCAGCCTCAGAGCCTTGAGGTTCACACACATCCGCAGGTCACTGTTGCTGACATAGGCGATCTTGTTGTTGGACAGGTCGAGGCTCTTCACCGTTGCCATGAGCCCTGAGGGGATGGAGATTAAAGATCTGGAGTGGCCATCGCAGATCCCAGTGGGGTCACAAGTCAGAGAAGAAGCCTGATCAGGGGCCCCTTCCTTGAACAGGCTGATGACGGTCCCCAAGACCCACAGTGTCCACAAAGCATGTGGCATGGTCCTTGATTCAACCTACAAATAAAAGAGGCTCAAGTGAGTGATTGTGGTTGAGAGCATATTGTATACATTTACCATGCATTGAGCAACCTTGCTGAACTAACTTAGTAATTCCATAGTTTGTAGGTTTTAAAAAAACATTTTCCTATGTATACAATCATATCAGCAGCTAGGTGATGGTTTTATTTCCCTTTTCTAATCCTTATACCTTTATTTCATTACTGAATGTTGAATTTATCAAATTCTTTTTTTCTCCCTGTATCTATTGAGATAATAACATGAATTTCCTCTACCCTGGTGATTACATTAATCAATTTCAGTGTTAAGATAATTTTGCATTTTTAGAATAAACCCAAATTAGTCTGGATGTATTAAACTTTTATATATTTCTGAATTTTATTTACCAATATTTTGTTTAGAATCTCTGCATCTACATTCAGAAGTTAAATTACCCTATAAATTTTCTTTCCTTTAGAACTCAATAAGGCCACCTTCTGAGCCTGCAGTTTTTGTTGTTCTTGTTTGTTCGTTTATCTTGTTTTTGTGTGTGTGTGAAATACATTAAACTTATTTAACAGCTATGGAATTATTTAGATTTTCTTTTTCTTCTTCTGTCAGTTTTGGTACATTGTGTTTTTCAAGATTTTATTGTTGTTTTTAAATTTTCAAAGTTTCTGACAGTTACTTATAATGTCCTCTTATTATTTGTCTGCAGGACCTATAATGAATTCCCCTATTTTATTCCTTAGATGAGTTATTTGTGCCTGGTTTTTTGAAGTACCTTGCAATTTTGAATTATTTTATTGGCATTTTCAAAAAAACCAACTTCTCACTTTATAGATGCCCTATTTTCTATTTCATGAATTTTAGCCTTATATTACTGTTTCCTTACTTCTGCTTCCACTAGATTTTACTCTTCTTATTCTAATTTCTTGAGGAACATATTTGCTCATTAATTTTCAGCCATTCTTCATTTCTCATATATCCATTTAAGTTCATAAATTTTCACCTAAGCATTGGTTTAGCTGTATCCTCCATGTCTCATTCTCTTCTGTTCTTTCCATATTTTAGTCTTTTTCAAGTTCCAGTCTAGATATTTTCTTCTGAAAAAATTTTCTAGTTTATTATTCTTTCTTTGGCTGTGTTTAATCTACTGTTAAATCCATCCACTGCTTTTAACTTCTTTGGTCATTGCAATTTTCATCTTTATAATTTCTATTTGGTTCTTTTTCTCATCTGCTATGTTATTTTTTATAGTTTCTGATTCTCTGCCAAAACTTTCCGTATTGTCTTCTATCACTTTGAACACAGTAAGCATACTCCGGTGAGCTGCAGCACTTTTGACAGACAGCCTTGAAAGAAAGGGGTAAAGATTAAGGTTGGGGCAGTCATGGATGAGACCGCTAAGGCTGAACGATAGGAAAACAAATCCTCAGAGAGCTTGCAGCACAGCTTTGATTTGTCTGGATGGCTCAGACAGTCTTAATCTCTGAAAATGAATTAACATGATTTCTGGAATGCTAGTGCTCATGGATATCTGCAGAAGCAAAGGACGTTTTTCTAGAAGATAACATCATTTTAGGCCTCAAATGTCTGTCTACAAATTTTCAAAAGGAATTTTCAGTACACAATTAAAAAAACAACAACAATCCAGGTAATAAAGGAAGGAAGATAATAAATATGAAAAGAGCAGAAACATGAGACAATAGAAACTAACCCATAAAGACTATTGATTTAGTTTTGTTCCTATGTCTAAAATCAACAGGATCAAGATGAGACGGTTATTACTACTCGGTACTATATTTATTCCATTGTGTTTCTGGTTAATCTGTTATTGAAAAAATTCTCTCAGAAAAACTGTACTGGGCAACCAAAATTCTTTTATTTTTTTTCCACTTTGTAATACATAGCACAGATCTTAAGAAATATATATTCGTTTTTGGCTAAGAGTTAAGGTCAAACACATCTATTTTTAATTTTTCCTGGCCTTGTCCCTTTAAGATGTAAAATTTATAAGAACATAGATCTTGGGCTGTTTCATACAAATATTATATGGTACCTATAGCATGGTGAGTTTTCAACAATAATTTTTGATGATGCTAAACCTACAGTTAACACTACAGAACTTGACACTTAAGTTCAGAGTAACTTTTCTCTCCTTTTCGTTCCTCAATACATTGCAGCATGGGGCAGAGAACTCAATGGAAGACACTGAGGAAGGAAAAGGCAATAGCTAAAGTTAGACTGTAGGGAGTCATCTCTAAATGAGGGATGGGGGTCTGGACAAAGTATAAAAACCACCTGCTTGAAGAATTCAGAAAGCAGACAGGGTAGCAAGGAATTATTCGTCCAAGACCCAGGGGAGGATGGAAGTCTGAGAAGCCTGGCATTAGAGGCAAATTACGCTGCAGACATCTGCTGACCCAAATTAGGGAGGAACTTGAAACCCTGTGGCCCACAGTGAAACCACAACTAGATATCCACATTAGGGCTCGGGCTGTGATGCCTGGGTGAAGAAGGAGCGGAGAAGGGACTCGTGGCCCAATGCATGACAGAGAACTGAAAGTAGACTCTCCATAAGGGCAGGTGCAGGAAAAAGGCTTCTGATAATGTAAATATCTGATATGCAGGATGGTCTTAGGCGACCCCTGTGAAAGGGTCCTTCGACCGCCAAAGGGGTCGCCACCCACAGGTTGAGAACCGCTGCCTTAATTGAACGGGAATCTGAAAAAAAATCTCTGCCCTCTGACCCAGAGTCAACCTGCCATGTATGCTGGTATAGATCCAAATATTAAAAGATACAATAACTAAAACATTTTCAGAATTGAAGAGAAACAAATGCTCCCAAATTACAAATGCATATTGAATCCCAACAAAAAGACCAAAAAGAATTTCTCACCTAGCCCCAAAAATGATGGAATAGTATGTTCAAAGGCCTGAGAAAACACACCTGTCAACCTAGACATCTATGCCCATTTAAATGATCATTCAAAGGCAAAGATGAGATAGATATTTTCAGACATTCATCAACTAAAAGAGAATTGTTATCCAGAGACTCTCTTTGGTTAAAGTACCCCAAAACATATGTTCCTTAGCAATACGGAAAATGAACCTGGGAAGAGTAGGCTGCAAAAAGAAAACTTGAATTTTTAACAAATGCACTCAGAAAACTCAGATGTGGCTTCCCAGTATGAGGAAAAAGTAATGTACATTTTAACTAATAATGTGGGGAAAAACAATTTTGACAAGTCTACTATTTGGAAGGAGTAAATATAACTTGTATTTATCAAAAGATCTTTATGAGGAGGTCACACCCAAGATGCCATATACAATCACTAAAATCAAAACAAGATATTTAACCAGCCAAGCCAAATTGTTTGTTGTTGTTGTTATTGTTAATCCTCACTCCCTGAGGATATTTTTTCCATTGAATTTTAGAGAGAAAGGGAGGGAGGGAAAGAGGGAGGAGAGAAAGAATAAAACACTGATGTGAGAGAGACACATCAATTGGTTGCCTTCCCCACGTGCCCCCATAGGTGGGGATGGAACCTGCAACCCAGGTAAGTGCCCTAGATGGGAAATTGAACCAGAGACCCTTTGATGCATGGGCCAACGCCCTAACCACTGAGCAACACAGGCCAGGGAAGCCAAGCCAAATTCTTTTTTTTTTTAATGCAAAAAAATTAACTGTTAGCTTAGAAACTTCCAAAACATGCTATCGACTTCTGGCATTATAAAAAGTTTAAAGATGCAAATGTTCTCTGCTTAAAACAGGAAGAAACTTAAAATACGGGTGAATAAGTCATTTTCAAAAAGTCACAATGTTTGCTATTTCCCTTTTTTTTTTTTGTCTCTACTTTCAAATCATGGCACCCTACCTACCAGTTGCTTTTTGGTAAAGATCTGAATTAGTAAAGTTCAGCTAAGACCTTCTGCAAGATTCGAATCATCTCAGATTTGAATCCTCTCTTCCCCAGGAAAAAACTTGATCCTGGCTTGCACCTAAGTTCCAAACAAAAGTTCTCATTTGCGGAAGTTGAAGTTGAAAGGGCAACTTAAAAATAAAGCATTCTCATTTTAAAAACTCTGTTTAAACGCTCTGTGATGTCCTCGTCCTGATTACATATAATCATATCTGGCGTAACTCAGACACGCTAAGGATGAAGGAACGTGGAGAGGCTTAGAGACCACCCCCCCCCCCAAGCCCCCCGAGCAGAGGCCAGCCTCGGGTTAGGGAACGAGAGTCCCGAACCTTCCCCATTTCCGAGCCCCCGTAACCAAAATCCACCCCCTGGCAGTCTGTTCCTCGCGGTTAGCAGGCAGCACAGGCACCTGCCCCAGGACGCGCAGGTGCCGCCTCGAAAGCCCTCACCTGGCGGGTCCCTCCCGCTCGGCGGAAAGGGCGCCCGGGCCGTGGGAGGGCGGCCCTTGGGGAGCGTGGAGGCCCCAGCTCGGGCAGGGTCACCGCCCACCTCGGTCCCCAGAGAGACGGGGCCCAGCGCGAGCCACCCCCGGGGCCTCCGAGGGTGCCAGGGCTCTCGGCCCGTTTCTCTCCGGTGCCCGGTCCCTCTCCGGTGGCCCCTGCTTCTCCCGGGGGCCGACCTCCGCCCGCCTTCGCCCGTCCACGGCCCCGCGTGGGGCCGCGCAGCCCGGGGCGCAGGAGCTCGACGTCCTCCCGGGGCAGGTGCGCTCCTTGCCCCCCCCCCCGGCCCAGGTCCCGGGGCCGCGTCTCCCCTCCGCCCCGCCCGACGCGGTCAGGGGAAAGGGCTTCCCGAGCGCCGGCGCCGCGAGCACGGGCCCGAAGTACTTGCGGGGGCGCGGGGCCCGCCTCCAAGTTCGCGCCTTCCGCCGCCCTCCCCGAGCCGATCCGCCTTCGGGCTGCCTCCAGCCCGGACCCGCCTTCTGACCGCCTCCGGACCGGACCGCGGGCTCGGGGACGAAGCGGGGGGAGGGCGCGCGGCGGGAACCACCCGTCCTTCCCGGGGCGCGCCGCAGCGGGGAGGCGCCAACCCCGGTCCGCGCGTCTGGCCGCTGCGCCCGTCCTTGTCCGCAGCTCCGTCAGGTGACCCGGACCGGGGTCGCGGGGCAGGAAATAGAACCGAAATGCTGGAAACCCCGTCGTCGTGGGATTGCCCGAATCACAGGGGCAGATTTTGCAACCCCTGAGAAGGCTGATCACCCAACCAGTCAGTATTTTATTGACATCCCAGCCTCCCATTCCCCTGAAACACAGCGTCTTTAAACCACTTCTCCATTCTGTTCCATCCTTTGAAGCCGAATTCAAGTTCAGGAATCGTTCTTCCCCGCCTTTCGGCACCATGCTCTCCGGTGTTAAAGTAGTTCACCAATCTCTAGCCAGATTTTGCAGGCAGAGCAGGTACGTACAGCCCCAGATTCTGGGGTTCCCCCGCCCACACACACACACACACACACACACACACAGTCTCCCATCCCTAGTCTCTCCCTAGAGATGTGGGAGCCACAGATAGCTGAGGTTTTGAACCCGAGCCCTTCCATCCTTCCCTTGCTCCATTCCACCCCCATTTCTCAAGGTAATTCCAAAAACAGCCCTAGGTGGGCTTTCTTCGTTGCCACAGAAACTAGTTTATCCCAGGCAGTGAGGAACGTTTTATAAGGGAAGCAAACCAGTGCCTTTTAAAAAAGTAAACTGCCTTCCTGTGAACAGTGCATTTCATGTTCATAATTCCATTTGATCTTCACAAATCAAGATTGGAAGCGGGGGAAGCTTTCTTGCTCCTCTTTTACACTCGGGGGAAAGGTCATGCAAATTGTCAATGGCAGAACTGAGGTTTGAAGCCAGGTTTTTATCCTACATCCAGGTTTTCTCTGTTCCTATTCCACACCCCTGATTCTCATTAAAGGTTCAAACCAGGGCATGGGTTTTATTCTTCCTTTTGCAGTGAAACAGAGTCATTAAAACAGAGTCAGCACCAAACATTTAATGCTTGTTGAGGGGTGAATGGAAACTTTCAGAATGTCACTTAGGTCTGGAGGAGGAGAGTACAAACATCTGACATAGCCATTGCAGATACACAGTGGGACAGCAAGGGAGAGAGTCTAACCAGTGGCTC